TTAAAAGTGACAGACCCGGACAGAGAAGATGGAAATGTGCTGTTGTGGCAGGTTGGCTTTGGGAAGGAAGAAGCTGGTTCATGTACGTGTTTCCAGGAAGACAGGGATATAAGGGAGATGAATGAGATGATTCTGGAAGACTTGGAAAGAGAAAGAATGTAAGTTTAGTGAATGATTTGTAGGTTTCTGTCGTTTCAGTAAATATGAATAGAGGTTATTTAAGAAGATGAGGGGGGCATCGTGGGGTTTAGGGCTTGAGGGGAATAGAAAAGATTTAGAACAGTCCCTGAGGAGAACTAGCCAGAGATAAAGGCAAGCTTCGCCAGGCAGTGTTGGAAGGCAATCTGGAACCACATACGGTAAATTTGTATGGAAACCAATTGGCATGATTAAATGACTTTCAGTAGCAATCCTTAGGTCACTGGGAGTGGAAACAGAAACTGAGATCTGTCTCTACCGAGGCCCTGGTCAACAAATGCCATCAGGGCTCCATGAGTTGAGTGAAGGATTTTTTTGGTGTAGATATGAGAACAAATGAAATGACTAATCTCAAGATATAGAGTGGATAGGAACACAAACACTGCCGAGGGGAGTTGACAGACCAGGAAAACAGGAGTTACTAAGTAACCAGTAGAAAGAGAAGAAGAAATTCTAGGTTGAGTAAGCAAGCAGCCAGTTGAAAGGTCAGATTGTGACCAGATGAGAGAACTTACGAGTTGAAGACTTTAGAGATAGAACAAGGACCTTCTGGGTGTAGAAGAGACCTGAGTTGTGGCCCTGACACTGAGAAGCAAAGACTGTGGGAGCTGAGGTCCCACAGCGTGAAGCTGAGCAAGTGGATACAGGAGAGAAAGGTCAATGGCAAGGATGCTGAAGCTCTGCAGGGGACACAAAGCACCCAAAGTAGGTAGAAAAACTATTGATCAGAAGCTCAGGGGAGTGTTAACTGTCTTGGTTTTGGATATTTGGGAGAATGTAACTTAACTGAATGACTGCTTTAGAAGAGGAGGATAAATACAGGAACAGTGGTCTGGAGGCTGCAGTCCTGAGTCTGTAAGTTGGGTTAGTGGAGCAGAGAGTTCTCCACTGGAGAGTACTGGAAGAGCGTATGAGGCACACCAAATCCAGATTTTGATCATGTTAGGAGTGGAAGTCACCATCAAGGCTGCAGGGTAGCTAATGCCTGTTAAGCCCTATACTTTAGAAACTGCAGCCACAGTAGCGGCCTGGGGCCTTGCTGGTTTTGGAGACAGCAAAGGCATGCTGGATTGGGTTAAACTTGTTGAAGGCTGACTTTTTAGTCGGCATTGAACTTCTATTTCCTAATTTCTTTGTGTCTTTTTTATTAGTATGTTATATATGTGTTTCGTTAAGACATTTTCACATATGTATATAATATCTTTTGATTACCCTCTCTTGCCCCCTCCCACTGATTCCCTTTCCTCTTCCCAATCAATACCCCCACCCTCCTTTTCTTGCCCCTGCCCCTCCTGTAAATCAAATCCCCTTTGTTTTCCCTGCACAGGTTCAGTTCTGCTTTTTGTAGCATGCACATAGGACTTTATGTGTCTATATAAAACCTAATACCCCCCAAATGAGAAAAATATGGTATTTATTTTCCTGAGACTGACCTAATTTGTTTCATATGATTCTTTGCGGTTCCTACAAATGACATAACTTTGTTCTTCTTTATGACTGAAAAAATTTCCATTGTGTGTAAACCACATTTTCTTGATCCATTTCTCTGTTTTTGGACTCCTGCACTGGTTCCATAACTTAGCTACTGTGAATAGTTCTGCAATAAACATTGATGTGCAAGTATCTCTGTGATACACTGACTTGGAGTGAAGGCTAGCCTTTTGGGTTCACAAGCTAGAATAGTAATCATTAATGACAAGGATGAGGGGAGACAGCATAAAATGCACAAAGGTAGAAGCAAGTTCCAAAAGCTTTTTTGTCAGTGAGCTGTAATGAATCAAGCAACCTTGGGTTTCGAATTCAAACTTTAGCCCGTCCAACCTGAGTGCCCACTTGGGTAGTTAGTGCGACCAATTCAAACACAGGTGTGACTAATTAGAACAGATATGGGAACTAATTACAATATTGTGCTCATCAGCTAGAACATTAATGTGACCCATTACAACCTGGTAGTTTAAACAGCCAGAGGGATTTTAGCCAGAGTGAGGGTCAAGGAGATTCCTAGGTTTTTGCAGAGATACTTTCAGAGGCAGTTTTTGAATTCCACCAAAGCAGTACCAGGAATGTCAGTCTGGAGACAAAAATGCAAGGCTATCATCTTAAGATGTTGCAGTGGCCTATGGAATGTGCTTTCGATTGTTGTGTTCCTAAGATTGGGAGGTATTTAAAAACAAATGAAGTCTTACAGAAGAACTTTTTTTCTTAGCACTCAGTAGCTAAAGTAGTTGTTCTTGTGGATTTTGACCTGTGGGGTTGTCCTGTATTCCCTTTGTGTAGGCAGCCAGGAAGCTCCTGTCTACACTGTCATGCATCCCCAGCTATGTGTAGTACCTTATGGTATGTACTTTTTACTAACTGTAGCTCTGCTTCAACTTCTTCTCCTACCTGTTTTTACTTCCAAATTTGTGTGTGTGTGTGTGTGTGTGTGTGTGTGTGTGTGTGTGAGACAGAGGCAGAGGACAATAACAGGCATTGGTTCTCTCCTTCCACTTAGCCTGAGACAGGGTCTCTTTTACCTTATATACATCAGGCTACTAAATTGCCAGCCTCTTTGGCTTGTGTTGTTTCTGCCTCTAAACTTGTAGGAGCACTTCATGCACTCAGCTTTATATAGGTTCTGGGGATCAGAACTCAGGTCCCCAAACTTGCTTGGCAAGTGCTTTACCCACTAAGCCATCTCCCTAGCCTATGATTTATTTTTAATTGAAACCACATATTTTGTAAACTACCTTAAGCTAGTTGTGGAACAAGGCACGTAGATGAAAGGATGGAGAGACACAGGGAATGAGATGTAGAAAAGGAGATGTAGGAACAGGGAAGAGGGGGTAGAAAAAACTAAATGATAGGCTGGGAAGATTACATTTTATAAACTTCAAATATTCAAGGCCAAGAAAACTCATCATTTTGTCTTCCCACCCAAGGAATTGATTAACCCTGTAACAGCCGGCACAGCCTTAGCAGCAGGTCATATAGACAGTATGTGTTCCTTGAAACCCTGTCAGTACAAGTAGACATTCCCTGGGGTCAGTAAGTATTTGTTAACTGCCTTTTCAACATTTTTTAAAATTTCCCTTTAAATTGTTAGATTTTCCCCCACCATGTTTGCAAAATAGTAGGATATATTAGACAGAAATGAATTCTGGAGTCAAATAGACAGTGGTTTGCCAACTAACTCTGCTTATGATTGACATTATGTCCCTGGCCAAAAGATTCATTTACTCTCCCTGAGCCTGTTTTCCCATCTGTAGAACTGGGATACTAATATTTACTGCCAGATTCCTGGGAAGGTTGATCAAGAGGATGTATACAAAAGCAGCCGGCAGTGTCTGGTGTAGAGGAGTGTCAACAAATCTGAGCTTTCCTTTGCTTTGAACAGATATTTTGTGGCCAAGTGTTCCCTTGGTTCTCACACTGTGTATCAGAATGCTGTTGCCTGTGCTCTGTTAGCCAGCCTTTAGTCTGGCTGACCAGGAAGAGCCTGTCTCCTTGGCCTAGGACTCAGAAGCGCTTCCAGACCCCTAGACGGTTCAGTCTGTAACTCAGATTTACCAGGGACTAGTGGACTTTAGTATATATTCCTAGTCAAACTTTCTTTCTTCCCTGGTTTGATTCATGATCAAAGAGCCTTTGAAATCTATGAAATTAGAGCTGCTGAGCTAGATGTTGAGATCACCTTTCTTTGTGCCAGGGCTGGGTTGTCTATGTTGATACACAGTGTTCAGAGCATGCAGGAGTTTTGCCTTTTCCGTCTGCTCTTTTGGCCTGTTGCTGTTCTGGCTGCCATCTACATTCTCTGTGCCAGGACCTGCATAGACAGGGTCTACCATGTGTCAGGATTTTGGCCACCAGCATGTTGCCATTTGCTGATGGAAGAATAGATTGCCCTAACCCTTTGGAAATGCTTCTGGTCTTCAGCAGGTGTCTTGCCTGTACCCTTTGTTGTTTTCCTCTTGGTTATGTTTAACAGGCTTATGTGTTGATGGCAGACTTGGAGTCAAGGATCTGAAGAGTGTGGCTGTCGTCAGCCACTGTTCTGCTGATGACAGGACTAGAAATAACATACCTGATCTTTCTATAACGAGGAAAGAAAAGCCTTATTTACATCATATAGTAGCCAGAGTGGACTTTTGGTACAGAAAGAAGCCATCTCACAGAATAAAGACGCTTATGTGATCATCCCCAGCTACTCATGGAGAATCTGCTGTGTACTCTCGCTTCCCTCTGGGTTCATTGTAGTGATGTCTTCCACACACCCCAACATCATGTAGTGATGTTGGGGTGTGTGGAAGACTGGGTTGAGCCTTCATTGTAGTAATGTCTTATGTTAGGGTGAGTGGAAGACTGGGTTGAGCCTTGACTGTACCCAGGAGCTGATCTAGAAATCCTGATTTAAAAAACGTATTGTTAACTAAGTTCTTACTTATTTGTTCTGTTAGAGAGGATTTACTGCTTTGCCTTGAAAACAGAGATGGAAAACGTTGGCTCTTTGAAAGTGCCCATTCATTTTCTCTGTTTGGAAATAATTAATAATGGTTACTATGGGGAAACATGTTTTTTGACAAATTCAGTTCACATTGTCTTTCAAAGCACGCTGGGTGATGTCAGGGGCTGTGCTTTCCCCAAGTGACCTGGATCAGCCAAACCTCTCCCTAACAGACCCATGGCTCATATGCCCCGTCCCCACTCTGAGCTGGGCAAGGCACAGTACGGACATTGCCTCATGTGCTATGGATGGAGCTGGGGTATATGAGCCCCTTGTTGCCATGGTGGCCTATGATGTTGAGATCCATTTTTGCTTTCAGGAACTGCTAAGTCGAACATCTCTAGAGACCCAGAAGCTTGATCTACTGACTGAAGTGTCTGAGCTGAAGCTCAAGCTGGTTGGCATGGAGAAGGAACAGCGAGAGCAAGAGGAAAAGCAGAGAAAAGCAGAGGTGAGTGTGATGCACCACTTTTGGGGGTGGGACCTGTACTGTCCTAGGCTCAGACCTGGGGTAGGAGCTACCCTAATGTGGACCCAGGCTTCCCGACCAACCCCAGTCCTGGCAAGCCATGGGGTACCAGAATCATTTATGTACTAGGGACACAATGATAGGTTTAAATACCAAGTTATCAGGTTTTGCTGTGACTGCACATTTCAGCAGTACCCAACCACCCAGTTTTGGCTTTAGGGCTCTATCCTCCCCCAAACTGCTGACAGGGATGGAAAGGGAAGCAGTTGTAAGGGAAAGATCAGATACATGCAGAGCGACACAGATGACTTCTGTGAAAACTACGAGAATGACAAAGTCAGGGAGGAAACCCGCCTCCCAGCAGCCCGCAGTCACTGTATCCAGCGAGCCTGGGGACAGTTTTTGACACACTGACCCTCACGTTGTGTGTTTTTTTCTTTTGATGGCTCATGTGGGTGAGTCAGTACTCCGGCCTTCTCTGAAAGAATGTTTGCTTGCTTTCTTGCTTATCTTTCAACCTCCATTGCTCATTGGCTCTATTTTGGATACACGCTTAGAGAACTTTAGGCTCAGGGCTCCTTTATTTAGGAGAAGAAGCTTGTTTTAATTTCAGATAATCATCTTCATGGTCTGTGTTCTGGTTCTTCTGTTCACACCTGGCATTGTGACACACGAAACAAGATGGTTTTAGGTTTAGAAAAACCTTGATTCGTTTGCTGACCGATCTGCTCAATAGCTTGCTGAATGTCAACAAATTCATTATGTAATTGTATGAACTTCAGTTTCCTTACCTATAAAAGTAGGTAATTCTGTAAAAGATCAATTAGATCACAGAAATATGTGCCTGTCATAGCATTTGGCATTTTGTAAGCACTTGGTTTCTCTTTTTGATTTTTAAAATTTATTTATTTTTTAATTGCAAAATATTTTATTAGCATTGCTTTCTTTAAGACATGACATGATTGCACTGGAGAATTTGGAAAGGGAGTGAATGACAAACTCACATTACAGCAACAGTGACAAACCACGTTGTTGTTGAAGCTTAGTAGTAAGTTTTGTCAGTAAATAACATTCAGAAATCATAGTAGACATATGGAATTGAAATTTTACATTCTAGAGTACAATTACATACTTTGGGCTTGAGAATTACATCAATTTGGTTACTGTAGTACTTTGTTTCTGTGTTCCTCTTTAACATCCCAGACTGTGATGTTGACCATCTCCCTTCCCCAGGCACCAGGAGGTTTCTCATTGTTTTCCCATTACTCTTCCAGCCCAGTGTGCCTTTACCTGTGCCCCTTAGAAAATGTAAAATAGCTAATTGAAGGCCTAGAGAGCAAAAGCACTTGGTTTATCTTAATTTTCCTCTGTTTTGTCCTCTTAGAAGTCAGAGGATGGAAATTGGTTCTTTCTGATAATTGCCAACATTATCTGCTCTGTTAGAAGCCATTTTTCTATTTTCTGGGAAAATAATAGTAAATAATAGTGCTGGGATTTCTGATATACAGGGGGCTGTTCCTCAAATTGATTTTGAGGACGTTTCTTTTTTAAAAATATTTTATTATTTTACGTGTATGAGTGTATTGCCTGCATGTATGTGAGTGCACCCGTGTCGTGCAATGGCGCAGAGGTCAGAAGAGGGCTTTGGATTCCCGTGGAACTGGCGTTAAGGACGGTTTGTAGCCGCCATGTGGGTGCTGGGAATCGAACCTGGGTCCTCTGCAAGAGCAGTCAGTGCTCTTAACCGCTGAGCCATCTCTCCAGCCCTGAGGATATGTTTCTTATAAGAAGGGTTCTTCTCAAAGGGTGAGATCTGTTATAAGCTGTGAATAGGAACTCCTGTTAAGAGTGCAGACTGTTCCATCACATCTCTACTTTGAATCATGCTGGGTACCCCATAGCCACATGTTCTTTTTCAAGTTAACCTCCCAAATCTTTGATGATTACTTTGCTTGTTTATTTGTATAAGATGGAAGTAGTAATACTTGGTGTTTCTTTAGCCATTCTAAGGACTGAATGAAAACATGTCTATGTGGTCTTTAGCTTAGCGTGGGACATATAGTGATGGTTAGCTTTATTGATCACTTACTGAGAGTGTTAATCATAGTAACAACGGAAACATAGGCTATTCACATTATTCACATACTGTGAATTCACCTATACTTCACCTGATCTGTGTGAAGTATTCATTAAAAGACTTAAATGGGCATAGAGAAAATACCAACTTTTCTCCAGGGTTAGTCATTTTACCAGTGCTCCAAAGTGTGTGATATGTGTGATTGTACATTAGGGGCTTGGAGGCAGAATTCATTAAGTTCTGTGAGAGGGCTTAGAGTAGCAGAGACTCAATTCAAAGCTGTTAATTAAAAAAGGAAGAGGGAATTGTTAGAGCACACAGCTTGAGAGATCAAGGCTTAAGTGGGATATAACTGGATCCAGACAATTTCAGTGTCACTCAAAGCCCTTCTCACTGGGTGTTTTGATTCTCTGTTAGCCCCATTCTCAGGAAGACTCTCCCACCAAGTGACAGAGATGACCATCAGTACTCTAGACCGATATTTCATAGAGTGTCTTCTCAGAGGTTCCAGCAAAAGCCAATAGGATGGCATCTCATTGGTCCAACTTCTGTCAGGTGTCTCACTCTATACCTGGCTCTCCACAGGATCACACAGTTCGTACTTCTGTGTAAAATGCAGTCAGTACCGTGCTGGGTAACAGTCTATGTGTCGAGATTCAGGCAGGAAGGAGAGGTCTTGCTTGTGGGACCCACGCCAGTCCTTCCCTGTTTGGTTGCTTTCTTCCTCCACACGATCATTTTCAAATCTGAGATTTGGTTTGTTGCTTTCCATCAGGCACAAGGCAACATAAATCCCGAGCCTCTCGCCCCCATCCTACCAGATCACCGCCCTTCCTGTTGCCAGTACAAATATTACATAGCCCTGTGGAAGAATTTTGTAGACTGTTTCAATCTGTGATAATCGGGGAGCAGCCACGTAACTAGAAGCAAATTCTTCCTTCTTGTAACTAAACAGACACATTGCTGGTCTTCCCAGGACCTCAGCCACTGCTTGCAGTTATCTGGAGCACCCATGGCTTCATGCCACGAGTGCCGCTTAAGCCTCCCTGTTGTCACGTGATGGAAATGTTTAGTTTGTGTAAGACATTTTGTTAACTCCGATCACAGTGGGTGTAGCTGAGCTAATAATGTGTTGCTTCCCTTCCTATGCTGCTGCTGGTTTTGCCTGTGAATAGTGGATTTATGTAGCATAAGGGCTGTTTGTGTTTAGAAGAGGCAAGATTATTCTTTCTTTTTTATTTATTTTTATTTTTTGTGTATGAGTGTTTTGACTGCATGTAAGTGCACCTGTGTCATGCAATGCCTGAGGAGGTCAGAAGAGGGCATTGGATCCCCTGGAACTGCAGTCACAGGTGGTTGTTAGCCGTCATGTGGGTGCTGGGAACTGAACCCAGGTCCTCTGAAAGAGCAGTCAGTGCTCTTAATTGCTGAGCTCTCTCTCCAGCTGCCGCCCCCCCCCTTTTTTTTTGAGATAGCCAGATTTGAAATAAACTTCCGCTAGTTAGTTTTTTGGTCACTGTTTCAGCTAGCCTTTCCCTGTTGCTGTGGCAGAACACCTGATTGACAGAAGCTAAGGAAAATGTGGAAGCTGGGATTCCGTCCTTGGTAGTGGAGCTTAAATATGGCTTGTTCCATATCAGTAGATTGGGAAGCAGAGAGAGCTCTGACCATGACTGGGACTGGGTTCAGTCCTAAGGGACCTACTTCCATCTAGATCCCACCTCCTAAATGTTCTATAGTCTCCCACAACAGTGCCACCAGCTAGAGACAAAATATGTAAACACATGAGCCTACGTGGGGAGATTTCACATTCAAACCATAACCATGATCATGACAAAAGAGATGAACAAATAAACTTAAGTATTCATTTTGGCTCAAGGTTTCAGGGGTTCATGTCATGGTCAGCTGACTCTATTACAGTGGGCCTATGTGAGGCAGAACGTCTTGGCAACAGGAATATGTGACAGAGCCTGCTCAAGTCATGGTAGCTGGGAAGCAGAGAGAGGCAGGAGGGGTTGGGGCAAGATCTCCAAAGTTACACCTTCATTGAAACACTTTTTCCAACTTGGCCCCACCTCCTAGCTTCCATCAAATTATGACTCCATCACTGGCTTCATCCATTGATAAAATCAAATTGCTGATGATCCAGTCACTTCCTGAAAGCCCATCAGCTGGCCACAAAGTCTTTAACACATAAGTCTTCCTGAAACATTTCAGATTTGAACCATAGCACTTCTTGAGTGAGGCTCAGCCTTTATCCTCAAATTTAATTTTATTTTCAACAAATAATGAGGTTATTATTAACAAGAGCACAGCAGACTTCTCTGGTCATACCCTAAGACACTGTGGCGTCTGTCAAGCATGCTGCTGCCTGTCAAGAGTTATAGAAATAATTGCTGGTGGCCCATCTGTAAAACCTGGGGCCTGGGAACTGCATCTTTCTTGCCCGGCCTTTCTAAGGAGTTGGTTAATAGTGGCCCATGTGAATTTTGCATTACTTTTCCTCATTAGCCTTTTGCAGTGTCTCTGGGTCTTTTCTGGGCACCCAAGATTGAATATTAGATTCATTCCCGAAAGGCAGGATCGTAGTAGAGAAGTGCGTGCCAGAATTTGGATTATGGCACATGAAAGCTCCAGAGGCCAAGGAGACCTCTGTGCGGCATCCATAGCAGGGCCTTTAAAGGTGTGTTGATCAGAAAGGTCTTCTAGAAGGGGGTCTGATTTCCTCTGCACTAGGATTCTAGGGGGACACAGCTCAATTCTGTTGTGGGGCCCAGTGGGTGAGCAGGTGTCAAAGAGCTTGTCAAGAGTTGAGCTCAGTCCAGGATGTGGATTCTAGGAAGGGGCGGGGTCATCTCATTTGCTCAGATATTTCCATGAGAAGTAAGAGAACTGGATCCAGACA